TTGCTAATTCTTAGATTTTAATAATATTAGCTCTTAGGCTTAAATTATATTAACTCTTAGGACCCAGTCATTGCCTGAGTTCGAGTTTTTAATTTTTTAATTTTTTGTTTTTTAATATTTTTTTAAAAATTGAGTTTTTTATTTTTTATTTATTTATTTTATTTTATTTATTTTTATTTTATTTATTTTATTATTTTTTTTAATTTATTTATTTTATTATTTATTTATTTATTTTTTATTTATTTTTTATTTTTTTATTATTTTTTTATTTTTGTTTTTTTTTTTTTTTTTTATGTTTTTTTTTTTTTTTTTTTTTTTTTTTTTTTTGTAAAGATTACGCTAGTTTTTTTTTTTTTTTTTTAGTTTTGATTTTCAGTTTGATTGCTGTTTCTTGTTGCTAAGTTGGGCCCTGAAAAGCATCTCCATTCTGTATGGCCTGTCTTTTTGCACAACAGACATGCATGAATGCGGCCGCACTTCTTATCATCATGACAATATCTTCGGTTCCAGTTAATACAAATTTCCTTGCCATCATGCCACGTGATTTAGTAAATCTTGTCTTTTTGGTTGTTGTAATATCAAAATTTTCTCCCTCTGCTTTGATATTACGTTCAAACAAAGTTAATTCTCGATCCATTGTTAGTGCTAATCGTCGGTCTTCATCATATGACAGTACTGCAGTAAATTCATATTTGGTACACATTGTACTAATGTGATCACGATAGAAGTTTAATTCTCGTTCACGATTACTATACAAAACCAGAATGGCTTCCATGTATGCTCTAAATGCCAAAAGCCACTCTGATATGTCATTGAATTTGCTATATGCATGCCTTTTCCGAATAGATAAATATCCACCTTCTGAGGTTTGCAACTGTGATTCTTCATTAAAATGTTTTATATTGGCTTTTATATTTCTATGTGCAAATTCTTGAAGATCTGTATATGCTCCGAATGCGATTGCCTTCCACATTCTTGATGTTAAATTTGGTTTGCAAGCTAGTATTTCGATAATTTTTTGTCCTTCGGTTTAATTTGTTACCCACCACAGCCTTTTGCTTTTAGTTTCAGCTGCTAGAGGGTTCGTAAAACCTTGTACTACTGGTATGTGTTTAAAAATTTTCGTAGCTTATTGCGGGAAACTTGTTACTTTTATTTTTGATAATGATTAGTCTATCCATTTCTTTTTCTTGTGCTATTGTCTCCAGCGGCGTCATATTTTCAATCATTTCATTGAGAGTTGGAGTAGGTGGGTAATTACCTTGATGTATAGTTTCTCTAGTATCTGTTAAGTTCATGGTAGCCGGAAATATCAAGTCTTCTTCTGCCTGTTGGTTATTGCTAGATTGTCTTTCAGTTCCGGTCCAGTTGGCTTGTTCAAGTTGGCTGAAACGACTATCTATAGTGTTGCGTAGTTGTTCATTCCATTGTTGTTGGTTTTGTGCCTGTTGGTCTATCATTTCTTTTACCTTTTCAACAAGAATTGTTATAGTCTTCTGGCAGGCATCATCAATATAGGCTTTGACTTGCGGATCAATATTCGATGTTCCATTATTATTGTTGCTCATTTCGCGCAAATTTGAATCGGGCCTATTGACTCTGTTTCGTTACCTCTGGTTTTTTATATCTTACTTTCCCATTGTAACGCCCTTTTAGACAACACTATTGCGCCAGGCATATGTTAAGGCTGTGCTTGCATTTGATCTTCCCACGCTGTTGACTTCACATGCCTGGCTGCGCCATACGTACGAAGTGGCTTGGACGAGGTGATGTGTGGCTGCTTCTCTTTTCGATCACGTGATTCCCATCACTCTGCATGTGTGGCGCATTCGCGCCACACATCTTATTTAGTATTTCTTTTAATTATATTTCTGTTTAAAATTCTTTACATAATTTATTATCTATTGTAATTAGGGATGTGTTACATAAATTACAACTTTACATTACATGTAATTTTACGTAAGTTTCTGAAACCCAAATTTCGTGCAATTTTACATAAAGTACCGGATTTACAAAAAGTTTCGCCAACATTATTGTAACTCATAAATCGCCGAAATTTGATCTCAGAAACTAAATGTCGTGTGTTCAAAATTATGATTACATGAAAAA